TGATCCTACTAGGAATCTTGTGAGCTGAAAACGTCCTGTGTTCTCTGTCTGTGCTGCACTTTTTATCAGTTAAGCCCCCGGTCACATCGGGTGCGACTTGGCATGCCATTTACATGCCAGGCGACTTTCAAATCATATGCCAAGTCACACCCTATTGTCCGCTATTAGAGCGGTCATGTTGGTTTGGTTCTGACTTGGTCGGAGCCGCACCGATTTCTAAAGTAGTACATTTACTACCTTTGTTGTGATCTGCATAGACATCTATGCCAGATGTCTTGCAAATCGCAATGAAATCGGCAGGTCAACCGATTTTGAAATCTTGCGACTTCACTGTAAGTCACACGATTTCAAAATTGGCTTTGATGTGACCGGGGACTAAATCTGATTTTTGGGAGAAAAGTCAATTCCCTCCCATAACCCCTCTCCCCAATTGCTGGGTTGGAAAAAAATTCCACACCTGGCCATTCATTAGCAGGAAAATTTGAAGGAGTAGGACAGACTGGTGTCTATATTCAGCCTTACCAACTATATGAAAAATTGTTCTTCAACTCATTTCTCACAGTGAATGTGGTTTTCATTCAGGAAAAGTCCACTCACTCCAAAATTGAATTTTAAAAGCAAACATTTTTGAAGTACTATTGAATGACATTCATTATGTCATCAAATGCACTGATGAGAACTTTTGTACAAATGCTCACGGGAATGTTCATACAGAAATCTACTTGGGCGTGGCAAGTTTTAGTCCCCTCTTTCATCTACCTGAAGCCGCGGTCATGTGATCATCCAGCGCCGGGTCCTTCTCCGCTCTGTTTTCATCCTGCTGGGGTCCTTCTTCCAGATGTCCACATTACTGTCTGAGAATTGCAGACTATTCCCTTTGGCTGGCCTGCATAGGTGTCCTCTTAGCATTCAGAAGAGTTCTGACATTGGATGGAGAGCAGCGAAGGGGACTTTGCATCCAACGATAATGTGCAGCACTGGATTAGTGGTCTGCGCAGAAGATTATTCTTCTCAGCGAGTGACCTGGGCTCAGGTGATTATAACTAACTTCACCAATAAGGAAAATTTAACAGCTCACAAGATGAGTCAGAGGGCTGTGTGAAAGAAAGTCGGGCTTTAATATTATTCTCAGTTCTCTCTGTGGACTACAGAACACCTCCCATCTATATTATGATCTATGCTGCTACATACAGTTCAGTGTGTAAGCAGTGACTCACTATCACTAGGATAGCAAGCTGTTTACTTGCAGAGTCACCAGGTGAAAATAACAGGACTATAGACTACAGAACCCCTCCCCTCTATGATATGTAGATGAGGAGAGGGAGAGCTGTTCTGTAGTCCTAACACCTCCTGTCCTGTGGTGACAACACTGCTCCTCAGTGATCAGTACAGAGAGTACTTTTCTATAAGAAGGTAGATCTATGCTAAAGCAGCCCATACATGAATCAGCAGGTTAAACAGAAAAAATGGACCCATCCATGTATTCAGTGTAGATGGTGGAGTCCTCCCCGCTGAGCTACTGTATTCTGACAGTGGGGAGACTTCCCTGTCATCACAGTATGCTGATCAGCGCTGCCAGTTATGATCAAGTGGCAAAAATCCAACAGTGGGGATGTACAGTAATCAGTAGATCGACTTTTGTACAAACACCCTGCCCATACATGAATCGAAATTTGGCCAGTCCCTGCAGAATGGGCTGAATTTTAATCCACATATGGCTGGCCTTAGTCAGCTACTATATTAGATAGCATTGTCCATGGTGCTGAAGCGTTACAATTTAAAGTGCATGTAAAGGCTGCATTCACACATGGGCTTTCTGAATAGCGGGCAGATTCGCCATGATTCTGCCTGCGATTTCAAAATGCTCTGCTAAAATCACAAATCGCATGTTCAGGTGCCATTGATATTAATGCCACCTGAAAAAGCGGTGTGGTTCTGCCGTGATTATCGTGCGATAAATCACGCCGCAATGGGGGCAGAATTTAAAACGCCCATGTGTGAATGCAGCCTTACAATAAACTTCACTTATTTTCTCCCTTTTGTCTGGTTTATATATATATATAACAATTGAAAGTGTTATGTTATCTTTGTTCAATAAGTGCAAAAAACACCTTTTAGTCCAACATCCAACAATCCATTGAGCTCTATGGCTGCATTCACACTTGAGTGTTTTGTAGCTTGAAGCTCCAAAAATGCTCAAACTTAAAAAATCAATTGTTCTCTATGGTGTCTATTTGTGCGATCAGGTGTGAACAGGCACCATAGAGAACAATTGATTTTTTAAGCTTGAGCTTTTTTGGAGCTTCGAACTTCAAGCTACAAAACATTCAAGTGTGAATGCAGCCTTAACTTCAGAGGAGAGGGGAAGCTGTTCTGTAGTTCTAACCAGGGGCGGACTGACAGCTCATGGGGCCCCCAGGTAATAGGGGATCATGGGGCCCCTGTGTCCTTGCCCACACTCAAAGCACACCCAAAAAAGCCTATAAAAAGGTACAAGGAACATTTCATGGGGCCCCCTACTGACCCTGGGCCCTTGGGCAGTGCCCGAGTGCCTGAATGGCCAGTCCGCCCATGGTTCTAACACACCTGTAGTGACAACACTGCTCCTAAGTGATCAGTACAGGGAGTAAACATTGTCATCCTCAGACAGGAATGTGTTACCGGCACAATCAACAAAAGGGGGGAAAATGCCTGAAAAAAGAAAACTAATGCAGCCACCATGTTAAGGACAGGTAAGCTACAATATATAACATTTTTGTTCTTGGGTTTAGATACACATTAATGTTCAATCCAGCTAAATCTGTTTTCTATAGTTTGGGAATGGGAAAGGGTTAAAGTCTATGTTGAAATTTTATAACCTGTCTCAATTCAAAAGATTTCCCATCACTTCCTGTCTAGTCCCAGCACGTGTTTATATGTTGAGTGGATACGCCTGTTGCTGGCCTTATCTCAGGAATACAGTAGTTTTTCAACAAGGAAAATCCATTTCATCCATGCTCCAATACAGGGTGTTCACAGACATAAGTGGATTTCTTGGGGCCATGTCAAATGTGGATTTTCCAGCAGAGATTAATTGCTGCTACAATTATATGCCAGCAGTTAGCAATTTGTATTTAGTGATTTAATCAGTAGAGTTGCTGGCAATTTGAGAAGAAATGATTTGCCGTTGCTACATGTAAGATGGTGGTGCTACAGCATTGGGTTAGCCCTGGTTGACATATATGCGGCCGTGCGGGCTGCGTTTTACACGGGCACGAGAGCCCATTCATTTGACTGGACTCCCATGCCCAGTGACAAGCAGGGAAGAAGTCCCTGCACTTCTTTGGAAACCGCAGCCCGCACTGGAACCTCGGTTCCCAGTACGGTTGCGTTTTCCAGTGCAGGCGGCGTGCCATTAGAACTAATGGCACCCGCGGGTCCACATTTCTCTGTGCGGGTGGTGCGGCTGCACAGATTTTCGATATAAACCTAGCCTTAGTGCACACTGCAAAAAATCACTCTCCTTCACCCTCATGCACAATTGACGTTTTGATAACGCTGGTAATGTTAGCTGTGTAAAGTCACGTTAAAAACTTGAGTTTTCAGCTTTTTTTTTTTTTAATGTTTTTGCATTAGCGTTTAGCAGCGTTTTGCCTCGTTTTTCTGCATTTGAGTTTTTTAGCTATTTTTTTCACAAAAAACATATTTTAGGGGGTCAAAAAATGGCCAAAAATACCAGTTTGCAGTGTTTTACTGCGTTTTTTTCAGCGTTAGAGTGTTTTTAAAGCTAAAAAAAACTCCTCTAGAACCCCACTAGTTTTGAGTTTTTTTTCTTGCCAAAAAAACGTCCCTGCCAAAAAACATTGATTACAGTCTATGTGTGCTTGGACACATAGGATAACATGATGGGGGGTTTATTGATTGTAGAAAAAGCATCAAAAGCCAAAAACAGCCGCTATAAAAACGTCAAGTGTGCATGAGGGCTTCAGCAATCTGTAGTTAAGCCATAGAAGTGAATGGAGGACGTTTGTCACTGGTGATCTTGTCACAGACATGAAACGCTGCTCAATCACTGACAGACTGTAAATTCCACAGTAAAAGAAATGATTTACAAAAAGAGGATCACTTCAAATAAATCGCCCATCCAACATGGCCCTCAGTGTGACTGTAATCTGCAAGATCAGGTGACAATTAAATTTAGTGACATCTTAAAGCTGGACTCCAGGAAAACAGCTAAATACACAGGCAAAATACCGTATTTTTCGCTCCATAAGACGCACCTGACCATAAGACGCACCTAGATTTTAGAGGAGGAAAGCAAGAAAAAAAATATTCTGAACCAATGGACTGCAGACACAGTACAGGAGATGACCAGAGACTGCGGACACAGTACAGGGGATGACCAGAGACTGCAGACATAGTGCACGAGATCACCAGAGACTGCGGACATAGTACAGGAGATGACCAGAGATTGCGGACAGTACAGGGATGACCAGGGACTGCGGACAGTACAGGGGATGACCAAGAGACTGCAGACAGTACAGGGGATGACAAAGGAACTGCAGACATAATACAGGGGATGACCAAGGAACTGCAGACAGTACAGAGGATGACCAGAGACTGTAGACAGTACAAGGGATGACCATGGAACTGCAGACAGTACAGGGGATGACCAAGTAACTGCAGACAGTACAGGGAATGACCAGAGACTGCAGACAGTACAGGGGATGACCAGAGACTGCAGATATAGTACAGGAGATGACCAGAAACTGCAGACAGTACAGGGGATGACCAGAGACTGCAGACATAGTACAGGAGATGACCAGAGACTGCAGATATAGTGCAGGAGATGACCAGAGACTGCAGACAGTAAAGGAGATGACCAGAGACTGCGAACATAATACGGGTGATGACCAGAGACTGCGGACAGTACAGGGTTGACCAGGGACTGCGGACAGTACAGGGGATGACCAAGAGACTGCAGACAGTACAGGGGATGACCAAGGAACTGCAGACAGTACAGGGGATGACCAAGAGACTGTGGACCTTTGAGGAGGGAGGGGGAGCGGGTACCTGAATTTGACAGGTCTCATCCTGTGGAGTTGTCCTCCCTTTAGTGTGAGCACCCGGCTGACATCCATGTGTCCACTGCACATGCGTGAGAAGTGCTGCGCTTTGTGATTGGTCTGGAGTCTTCTGGGACCTGTCATGTGTCCCAGAAGACGCCGTACCATTCACAAAGCGCAGTGCTTCTCACGCATGCGCAGTGGGCACCCGGCTGTCACACCCGGGTGCGCGCACTAAAGATGCCGGAAGAGCTGGAAGACTGCACAGCGCTGGCCCGAGGAACAGGTAAGTTTCTGCCGCAGAGAAGAGATGAGTGGCCGGCCCAATATTCTGACACGGTGACAGTGGTGGGGAATACTGGACCGGCCGCTCCATATTCGCTCCATAAGACGCACTGACATTTTCCCCCCTTTTTTGAGGGGAAAAAAGTGCATCTTATGGAGTGAAAAATATGGTACACATATGGCAGCTCTTTTACCTGCCAAAGGGTTTGCATTTCTGTCCACTCAGACCTTAGATTTACACAGCTCTGACACTCAGCAGAGTTCTGTCTGGCAGGGCAGGAGACCTGATTTTTTTATTTGTGAGTCCTCATGCACACTGGACGTTTTTACAGCGGCTGTTTTTGGCTTTTGACGTTTTTTGACGTAGACCCCCCAGCATGTTATCCTATGTATCCATGCACACATAGACTGTACTCAACGTTTTTTGGTAGGGACGTTTTTTGGCTGGAAAAAAAACCAGGACTAGCGGGTTTATAGAAGAGTTTTTATAGATGTAAAAAAAAACACTCTAACACTGAAAAAGGCGGTAAAATGCTGCAAACGTTTGGACTTTTTTCACCAAAAAAAAACTGCTAAAAATGCTAAAAAATGCAAACGCAGAAAGACACCGCTCAATGCGGCTAAACGCTAATGCAAAAACGCTAAAAAAAGTTGAAAAACTCACATTTTTAACGGGGCTTTACACAGTTAATGTTACCAGCATTACCAATACGTCCCGTGTGCATGAGGACTGAAAGTAACTGCACAGCAATGCACTGCATTCAATGTTAGGCTTCATTTAGATGGGTGGCAGTCTCTACTGTCCCTCTAAGAAAGCGGGTAGAAATCCTGCCGCCTCCTGAATGTGTTTTTTTTATCAGCCTAAGCTGGATTTATGTATTAAAATACACAGTTGCGACAAGGTCCCTTTGACTTCCATGGGCCAGTTTGACAAGCGATGTCACCTGTCAAAACCAACAAGCCAAGTTAAATTCATCACATTCATGCCATGTGTAAAACCCTTTCCGCCTGCATGTTATCTTTCAGGTGAGCAATCAGGGGCAGTAAAACCAGGGCTCAACTGCCTGTTTTTACTGCCTCCTTTCCACCCTTGAAAACGAGACCTTAGTATGTTACCACATCTTATGCGTTTTACCGCACGTTACCACAACACACAGGACTGAATAGACTCTACATCAATATTTTATTACAGCTATAATTACCAATAAAGGAGAAGCGGTCTCACGCTGTGCTTCAATTATGTCTCCTGGTAGATACGTAGAACTTTTCTCTGACTGTTAAGAAATCTTGCAGAAGCTAAAAAAGGCCATCGAGTTCCTTAGACAAATGTCACATGTATCCCGCGGCTGTCATACCTAGAGGCAAATCGACCGTCTTCCTTTAACTGTTTCATGGCTGGAGGACAGCAGATAATCAAACAGCTGAACTAGGGAGTGCAATGATGGAAGTAATTCCAACCAAGATCAATAAGCCTAGGGCAATGCAAAGAGCAGCCATGTACTTTCTTGTCTATGGGAGATCAATGCTGAGACATATAAGTAAGATGTCCTTACTGATTTCCCTCTAAAAATATGAAGTACCTTGACTCCTATTGTGATCTTTTACCTGGAACAAGCTCATGAATCAGGAGTGCTGACTTGCTGCATTACTATTCTGTGTTGGTGACTAAAAAAGTTTTTAAAGTGCATTTTTTTTTTTGTTATTTGGAATATTATTATTATACAGGATTTATATAACAGTTTGCTCAATGCTATACAATATAACGGAAGGCAATACAGCAACAATACAGTTCAATACAAGAGGGTTGGGAGGGTCCTGCTCCTTGGAGCTTACAATCTAAGAGGGAGGGGCTAGTGGTAAAAAAGGTAGTAACTGTGGGGGATGGACTGGTAGGAAGAGTAGAAGATTCCATTATTAGCTGAGGGCAGGATAGGCTTCCCTGAAGAGATAGGTTTTCAGAGATCGCCTAAAAGTGAGCAGAGTCGGCGATAGTCTGATACATTTGGGTAGAGAGTTCCAGAGGATGGGGGAAGCTCTGGAGGAGTCCTGGAGATGAGCATGGGAGGAGGAGACAAGGGAGCTAGAGAGTAGGAGGTCTTGCGAGGAGCGGAGAGTACGGTTTGGGTGATATTTGGAGACAAGATTGGTGATGTAATTTGGGGCAGAGTTATAAATGACTTTATATGTTATTGTTAATGTTTTGAATTTTATCCGTTTGGCAATGGGAAGCCAGTGGAGGGATTGGCAGAGAGGGGTGGCAGATACAGAACGGTTAGTAAGGTGGATGAGTCTGGCAGCAGCATTCATAATAGACTGAAGAGGGGATAGCCTGCGATGAGGTCGGCCAATGAGGAGGGAGTTACAATAGCCAACGCGAGAGATAACAAGGGAGTGAATAAGTTGCTTAGTGGTTTCCAAGGTTAGGAATGGGCGTATCTTGGAGAAGTCTACAAGATTTGGACAGTGATTGGATTTGGGGTGAAAGGACAGATGGGAGTCTAGGATTACACCTAGTACCCTGGCATGAGGGGAGGGACTGATGATTGTGTTATTGATCTTGATGGAGAAGTCAGGGGAGAGGGCACGGGCTGGAGGGAATACTAAGAGCTCAGTTTTGGAAAGATTGAGTTTGAGGAAGTGGAGTGACATCCATGCCGATATGTTGTTTAGTAGGTTAGTAATGCAAGAGAAGACTGAAGGGGTGAGGTGAGGGGTAGAAAGATAGATTTGTGTGTCAGCAGCATAGAGAAGGTACTTAAAGCCATGGGAGTTTATCAAGTGACCAACGGAGGAGGTGTAGATGGAGAAGAGTAGGGGTCCAAGGACAGAACCTTGAGGGTCCCCTACAGAAAGAGGGAGTGTAGAGGAGGAGCCAGAGTTATAGGTAATGCTGAAGGAGCGCTGCGATAGGTAGGAGGAGAACCAGGAGAGAGCAGAGTCTCTGAGGCCAAGAGAGTAGAGTTTTTTTGAGGAGGAGGGGATGTTCAACCGTATCAAAAGCTGCAGAGAGGTCAAGTAGTAAGAGTATGGAGTAGTGGCCATTGGTTTTAGCTGTTAGTAGATCATTAGTGAGTTTTAGTAGGGCAGTTTCAGTGGAGTGTAAAGGGTCAAGAAGGTTGTTGTCGGTGAGGTGGGAGCTTAGGTGATTGTAGACTAAGCGTTCTAAGAGTTTAGAGGTAAATGGGAGCAGGGAGATGGGTCTTAGGTTGTTCAGGTTGGTGGGGTCCAAGGAGGGCTTTTTAAGTATGGGAGTGATGTGCGCATTATAGGGAGGGGAAGGCACCGTTAGAGAGGGAGAGATTGAAGATGTGAGGGAGCATAGGATGAAAGAAGAGGGTGACCGTAGTAGTTGTGAGGGGACAGGATCCAGGGGCAGATAGTGAGACAGACGTCTGAGAAAACCTTAGTGACCTCTTCGGTAGCAGCAAGGTCAAAAGAGGAAAGTGTTGAGAGAGGTTTAGTATAAGCTATGCTAAGTGGGATGGATGTCTGTGCAGTAGAGATGCCCCGAATTGCATCAATTTTGTTTTTGAAATGATTTGCAATCTCGTGAGCAGTGAGTGAGGTGCTGGGTGGAGGTGGAGGTGGAGAAAGTAGAGAGTTAAAAGTGGAGAAGAGACGACGAGGACTGGATGACAAGCTATTGATGAGAGTGACAAAGTAGGCTTGTTTGGCAGCATGGAGGGAGGAACTGTATGTTAAAAAATCAGATTTATATAGGGTGAATGCTTGGTGAGATTTGGTTTTACGCCACATTCACTCCAGTGCACGACTATCTCGTTTAAGATTTCTGGTGTTGTCAGTCTGCCAAGGTTGTAACGGTTGGGGCCTGATGCTTCATGTTGTTAGAGGAGCAAGTGAGTCTAATGCAAATGAAAGCGAACTGTTGTAGACAGCAGGGGCAGGACAGGGGAGAGATTCTGTCATAGAGTTAGTCAGTTGCAGAGTGGAAAGGAGACGGGTTCAAATTGTGAAGGTTTCTGCTGGTAATTGCTGCTTGGAGGGATAAGTGTTTGAAGACGAGGACACTCTGTGGGTGATGAGATTGTGATCAGAGAGAGGAAAGGGGGTGTTTGTGAGGTTGTAGGGAGTGCAAAGATGGGAGAAAACAAGGTCTAATGTATTCCCATCAGAGTGAGTGGAGGACTGTATACACTGTGCTAATGGGGAATAGGGAGCCCCTGTCATTTCACTGCTTTTTTGTATGTCAAAGCTGGCCATGTAAAAAGCTGTGTCATAAGCTGACCTTACATGGATGGAAATTTGGCTGCCAAATTTCCATCCATATATGGCCACTGTGGTTGAACAGAAGTCGATCTACCAAACAACTTCTGTTCAGCCCCCCGCCCTGTTGTGAGCAGCTCTGATCTGTGTATTCTGACAGTGGGGATGTCCCCCTGCTGTCAGAAAACAAAGATATAACAGAGAAAATACCCCCATCCACCTTGAATGGGATTGTTTTGTTTTTTGTTCAGTAGTTGAATAAAAAAAAATGGACTCATCTATGGCCAGCCACAGTCTCTCCAAAGTGATGAGGAGTCCCTTCTTAGACAGCTGTCATTGGAACAAATGCCCCAGTTGGGAGGGTTCCCCCTTACTTTCTGCAACTGTATAGAGGTTCCCATCACTTCTAGCAACTTTTAAGCATATAAACTTTGAAGATTTATCTATATCTGTCTAAATCAATCAGCAATTCTGCAGTTCATCTGTTATGGTGTTCACATGTGCTTTGATTTTTTTTCTTTTTTCCATTTGACACGCAATTTGATCAAAATGATCAATTTTGACAACTGAGTAGCCATAACTTCCCTTCTGACTGATTTAGGCTAGGTTCACCCTTGCAGGCTGGTTGTGAGTCCGGAAATAGCACCTGTTTCTGCGCCTGAAACCACCCACCGCTGAATCACGCTGCTCTTCTGAGACGCACAAGGCTGTCATTCATTCTGAGTGGCACCCCCATGCATCTCAGCCCGCAGTGCGTTTGCGGGAACCGCAGGGAAACCTCATGGTCATAAAGACCATGCGGTCTCCCTGCGGCTGCATTTTTTAAAAGGTGCATGTGCTTTTTTACTGTGGGAAACTCAGCACAGTAGCCATTCAAATGAATTGGCTGGCGTGCCCAAGCAAATATAGTGTGAACCGAGCCTTATACTCAGTTTGGATCGGATTCGATCAAAATGAGTCATTGAGCCAGGGCAGAATGTTGCTGCATTATTTGCATCATTCAACAGCACTGAGATACTCTGTTCATTAAAATGATCATATTTCAGTCGATGAGACTATGCGATTACATGGTGGAAACAGAGATGCGATCAATAACTTATGATCATAAATTATGATTGTATCCTAACTATTGTTCAAAATCCACTTCCCCCTGTGTAGCATATTGATCGAATGGGTTGTTAACTAAAGAACAATTAGGGCTTTTATTCCCAGAAAATAGGTGCAGGAACTCAGCCACAATCGCCCCTCGCCCTACACCCACACCCTCAAAAGTTCATCAAATAGTGAGTGTGGTCAAATTTCACTAACAGTGGGAGGGTCTTAAAGGGGCATTAAATACCAGGAGTGTATTACATAAAGAGTTTGGGGGGGGGGGGTTGCACACAGCACAGAGTTCAGGGGTGCACTATGTACATAGTGCAGAGTTCAGGGGTGAGCTGCGTACATAGTGCAGAGTTCAGGGGTGCGCTGCGTACATAGTGCAGAGTACGGGGGTGCGCTATGTACATAGTGCAGAGTACGGGGGTGCGCTAAGTACATAGTGCAGGGTTCAGGGGTGCACTGCGTACAGAGTGGAGAGTTTAGGGGGTGCACTATGTACATAATGCAGAGTTCGGGGGTGAGCTGTGTACATAGTGCAGAGTTCAGGGATGCGCTGCGTACATAGTGCAGAGTACGGGGGTGCGCTATGTACATAGTGCAGAGTACGGGGGTGCGCTAAGTACATAGTGCAGGGTTCAGGGGTGCACTGCGTACAGAGTGCAGAGTTTTTAGGGGGTGCACTATGTACATAATGCAGAGTTCGGGGGGTGAGCTGTGTACATAGTGCAGAGTTCAGGGATGCGCTGCGTACATAGTGCAGAGTACGGGGGTGCGCTATGTACATAGTGCAGAGTTCGAGGGTGCGCTATGTACATAGTGCAGAGTTCAGGGATATGCTACATACATAGTGCAGAGTACGAGGGTGCCCTACGTACATAGTGCAGAGTTCGAGGGGTGTTAAGTACATAGTGCAGGGTTCAGGGGTGCGCTGCGTGCAGAGTGCAGAGTTTAGGGTTTCACTGCCCCCATTTTCTACCCCCCCCCCGCTTAAAAGCTTCATAATCTTCCGCCGCATGCCTTACTTTTGTTGCTGTATTAGGCTCAAGCACCCAGCCGCCTCTAGTACCTCCTCGCACACTGTAGATGGCTCTGCCTTTCTCACTTGCAGGATAATAATCCAGTGAGGGTGTTGGCATCTGCACTGTACCCCGGGCACCTTCATCTCCCTTGTCCCCATCCTGTACTCAGTGGATGCCACTCAGGAGATGAGATCAGTGGGAGCCATTGGGAGACAAGCTGTTAATTGTAAACACAGAAGCCTGACTTCTGACTTTTCTGTGTTTACAAGTGACAGTTGTGAGCAGGAAGTAGAGGGCTTGAGCCAGAGGCGGTGGAACGGAGTGAAATACTACAATTTTGGCCATATTCAATATAGTTATATATATATATATATATATATATATATATATATACATTGCATGTTGAAATGCGTTTTCATTACAAAATATACGTAAAATATTTTAATAATACATATACTGTATGTCTTTAAAAATACAAATCTACATTTTTGGATTGCATTTACAAATATATGTAAAAATATATGTTCAAATGACTTTTTTATATTTTTTTTTAATATATTCCGCAGATTTTTTTAACATATAAAAAAGTCATTTTAACATATATTTTTACATACCGTATTTTTCGCTCCATAAGACGCACCTGATCATAAGACGCACCTAGGTTTTAGAGGCGAAAAACAAGAAAAAAAAATATTCTGAACCAATGGACTGCAGACACAGTACAGGGGATGACCAGAGACTGCGGACACAATACAGGAGATGACCAGAGACTGCGGACACAGTACAGGAGATGACAGGAGACTGCAGACACAGTGCAGGAGATGACCAGAGACTGCGGACACAGTGCAGGAGATGACCAGAGACTGCGGACAGTACAGGAGATGACCAGAGACTGCGGACACAGTGCAGGAGATGACCAGAGACTGCAGACACAGTGCAGGAGATGACCAGAGACTGCGGACACAGTGCAGGGGATGACCAGAGACTGCGGACAGTGCAGGGAATGACCAGAGACTGCGGACAGTGCAGGGAATGACCAGAGACTGCGGACAGTACAGGGGATGACCAGAGACTGCAGACAGTACAGGGGATGACCAGAGACTGCGGACAGTGCAGGGAATGACCAGAGACTGCAGACAGTGCAGGGAATGACCAGAGACTGCAGACAGTGCAGGGAATGACCAGAGACTGCAGACAGTGCAGGGAATGACCAGAGACTGCTGACCTTTGGGGAGGGAGGGGGAGCGGGTACCTGAATTTGACAGGTACCCGCTCCCACTTCCGCGGAGTTTTCCTTCCCTCTTCTTCCCGGGCCGGCTTCTGTGACAGCCGGGTGCCCACTGCGCATGCGCGAGAAGCGCTGCGCTTTGTGAATGGCCCGGCGCCTTCTGGGACCTGTCATGTGTCCCAGAAAACACCGGATCATTCACAAAGCGCAGCACATGCGCAGTGGGCACCCGGCTGTCACAGAAGCCAACGCGGGAGCGAGCGAGGAACAGGTAAGGCCCTGCAGGAGACAACAGCTGAGCTGCCGGCCCGGTATTCTGACATGGTGGCGGCAGAAATACCGGACCGTCCGCTTTATATTCGCTCCATAAGACGCACTGACATTTTCCCCCCTTTTTTGGGGGGAAAAAAGTGCGTCTTATGGAGCGAAAAATACGGTATATTTGTAAACGCATTCCAAAAATGTAGATTTGTATTTTTAAAGACATACAGTATATTTGAAATGTATTTTTAAAATTATTTTCATAAAGTTTTGTAATAAAAAAGCATTTCAACATGCAGTATATATATTTATTGAAATATATTTTGAAATATATTGAATATGGCCAAAATTGTAGTATTTCAAATATATGGCAATATATTTGGGAATAATATTTTAAAAATATATTTCAAATATATTTTTCTTCCATATAGGAAGGTAAGAGTTTTAGAGAACATTGACACAAAAATGGGCCTTTAGATAAATATGAGCATCATTTTTGAGAATTTGGAAGCTCACTGGTAACAATGTTAAGCACAACAAAGTATGGAACATTGACAGCGTCTCTCACGTAACATTTCCATAATGAGGGTTAATTTCCATGGTGCTTAGTTCTCAGCAATGACAGATCGGTACTATTATTTTTTGGCACGGTGTTCCCTGCATAGAAAACACATTTAAATCTTTCAGCTCACCCAAGTGTCTCTACGTTACAAAGTGTCCCTATGGTTTAAAATATATCAAAAGCAACAACTTTGTTAGGCAAACCTTTTTTGGGGGGAGATGTTAGAACCTGTTATGTTTTGATGCTTTTTAGTTTTTTTTTGTGCTATCTTTAGTGAGATTTCCCCTTTCTACTTGTTCCCAGGACGGAAAGCATACCTCCCAACTTTCTGAGATCTCCAAATTTTAAGCTAGGGTCACATCTCTCTGGGTGGGGAATGCGAGTGTTCCCGAACCCGCAGAGTAACGTGCTACACTTTAGCAGGCACGCAAGAATGTCATTAACCACTTCCAGTCCGGACAATTTCACCCCCTTCCTGTCCAGGCCAATTTTCAGCTTTCAGTGCTATCACACTTTGAATTACAATTGCGCGGTCATGCAACACTGTACCCATACGAATTTTTTTTAGCATTTTTTTGACACAGATAAAACTTTATTTTGGTGGTATTTATTCACCACTGGGATTTTTTTTTCTATATAACTGAAAAAGTCTAAAAATTTTGAAAAAAAGTGTTTTTCTTATAAAAATTTGCAAATAAATAATCTTTCTTCATAAATCTTGGCCAAAATGTATTCAGTTATCTTTTTAGTAAAAAAAAAATAACCCAAATTAGTTTATAACCAAAAATTATAATTTTTCAAAAAAATTTTTTACATTTTTATTTTATTTATTTATATTATCATTTATGTGATTTTTTTTTTAACGCACTGTCACCCTAGCAGTACAGTGTCACCAAAGTGACACTGTACTACTTGTGGGGGATGATGAAGATTTCTTTTTTTACACTGATTGCTTTTACACGCATAAAGGCTGTAAAAGCAATCATTTCTCCTTCTATCTGGCTGCATTCTTGCAGCCATTGAGAAATACTATGAGAGCTGTGATTGGTCACAGCTTGTCACATGGTACAAGGCTGTTGTGAATAGCCTTGTACCATGTGACCTCTGTGATCATTCACAGATTTTACACGTAGTAAGCAATGATGTCATGTGATCACTGATTGACGAAGCCTCTGTACAAAGATAAGGATATATTACTTCTGCGCTGCCACAAATAAGTGATAAGCTGCTGCAAGCACCTAAATGTGTTCCTGCATCAATACAACTCCCCAAGAATAATGCGCTGCTCCCTAGTGACCCCAAAAATTTATAAAATACACTAATAATAAATAAACACCATCCTGAGCATCATACCCAATGTGTAATAAAATAAATCTGTGGCTGAGCCACTAAATCCAAATGATAAGTGAAACCTATATCAAAAATAAACCAAAATCATGTAGCAATAAACACCTGGCCAACCTATAATAAACACCCAGCTGAGCTGAACAATAAAGTCTACAAAACAAACAAAAACAGTAAAATATGTGAAAACATATATCAGAAATAAAAGATGATCACAATAACAGTAAACACCTGGCCAAGCTGTAATAAACACTCAGCTGACCTAAAGCATAAGGTGTGAAAATCAACAAAAACAGTATTAAATAATTGTAAAACAAGTGCCCAGCTGAGCAATCAGCCCCCCAACAGAATAAATAAGTGATGAATAAAGTAAATGTTTAGCTGGGCTAGATGTTCACAAAAAGTGCGTAAAAACAATATAAGCAGCTCTACTGAATATACAAAAAACAGATAAATGGTGAATGATAGATAACACTTAATAAAGTGCAAAATGCAGTCCAAAAGTGATATAACAGTCTCTTTCTTTCAACATTTAAAGTAAAGCACTAGTGACTTCAACAGATGTGCAAATCTATTGTACTCCTCCACCTTTAAAAAAGTGAGTTTTTTAGTGTTTTTGCATTAGCATTAAGCAGCGTTTTGCCGCAATTTTTGCTGTTTTTAGCTGGTTTTTTACACCCCCCCAATTTTTTTTTGCTTAACAGAAAAGTCCAAAAATGCCGGTTTTCCGCGTATTATTTTTTTTTCCGCATTTTTAGTTTTTACAGCTAAAAAAACTCCTCTAGAAAGCCACTAGTTCTGGGGTTTTTCCTGCCAAAAAACATTGATTATGTGTGCATGGATACATAGGATAACATGCTGGGGAGTTTACTGGCTGTAGAAAAAACCACCAAAAGCCAAAAACAGCCGCTGAAAAAAATGTCCAGTGTGCATGAGGACTTATGTGGACCACAAAGGTTTAACCCTCTCACTGCCATTAATCTATTTTATACATGGGTGACACGGGGGTATTTACATACACTTCTGCCACTGCAGCATCGGGTACATGTGTACTTGTCAAGCCGATTGCCACTTTTCTGATGGAAGTGATTCAGGCACCAGAAAGTACCGACACCCCAAGGCCATTTATCCCCGGCTCTGCTGTCCTATCTGTGGGCCTGGGACCAGCATGGTGGGTTTCCCGGGGTAGAGTGGAGGAAGCTCGGCAAATATCCAACATACTGATCCGCACACAGTGAATAAACCTGGAAGCAATGTGTATTAAAGTGGAACTAAATCCTCTTATCCTTTTTAAGGAAGCCGCCATCTTAGCCTCTGTTTGAGCTGCAAATGCCATGGTGCTGCACGTGATCAATTATGACACCAGCCATTTGATGGTGTGACAGTTTGGCTGAGAGCACAAGCAAATGTGACGGTTAGTATTCTCAGAATGCTGGGAATTAAGCTGTTTTTTGGTTTTTAACCATCCTCCCGCCTGCCATATAAGAAAATGACAGACGGCGATGGTTATCTCGTTCTGGGATCTAATGATCAGTGTAACCCCATCAGTGTCACTTGTCATTGTCCATCAATGCCACCTGTCAGTGCACATCAATGCCACATATCAGTGCCTCAGTGCACTACCAGTGCACCAGTGCACATCAATGCCACATATCAGTGCCTACCAGTGCACATCAATGCCACATATCAGTGCCCATCTGAGCTGCCTTTCAGTGCCAACTATCAGTGCCAGTCAGTGCCACCTATCAGTGCCAGTCAGTGCCGCCTATGAGTACTGTCAATCAGTGCCCGTTGTGACAATCGCAACGTCAGACCCCAGAGCCCTTCTCACCAAACTCGTGACCGAAGGACTAGCCGTGCTGTCACGCACGTAACAATGCCACGCCCAGCTGCACTCTGCACAAAGATTTTCCAGCTAAGGGACCACAATCGATGTGCCGGCAGCCTGAGCGTGATTGTTACTGGGTCAGGTTAATTACACAATTAACCCTTCACACTGCTTTCAGTGCCAACTATCAGTGCCAGTCAGTGCCACCTATCAGTGCCACCTATGAGTACTGCCAATCAGTGCCGCCTATCAGTGCCTGTTGTGACAATCGTGGCGTCAGACCCCAGAGCCCTTCTCACCAAACTCGTGACCGAAGGACTAGCCGTGCTGTCACGCACGTAACAATGCCACGCCCAGGTGCACTCTGCACAAAGATTTTCCAGCTAAGGGACCACAACCGATGTGCCGGCAGCCTGAGCGTGATTGTTACTGGGTCAGGTTAATTACACAATTAACCCTTCACACTGCCACCACCTCCTTTTTGTAGAGAGAAAGAGGAAACTTGGCAATATCAGCAATAACACTAGGATGGTTGGATAATCGTCTGTATACCACTGTCACCACAGGCAGGTTATACAGAGGTTAAAACACACACAGTAGCACTCTTCAGCAGCAAGAGTTCGTAATTTGCATTAAAGAGCTTTAGAAACAGTTCAACACTTTCAGAAAGTAAGATTTATTACTAAAATGTCAAAAGGGTGCAATAAAAATATTTACAGAAAAAGATGTAGCCAATATATATATAAATATACAGAGAACAATAGCACAGCAAAGAGATAACAGAAAGGAGTTTAAAGGGTTAAAGTACTTGCCAGTCAGCCTTGGTTTAAGCAGCTTCAAGTTTTATGAGCCCAAAAGGATTTCCTGTCTCCCACTGTCAGTTTCGATGTTAAAACAGGAGAGTCTTCTACTCTTTAACTCAG